TTTGAGAACAAGGTGAAGGCGATATGTGTTAAACCAATATTTCTGGCATGGGGATGTGTACAAAACCAAACAGTTGAGACAGTACTGGGTTTAGACGTGTTGGGAGAAACAAATGACACGAACGTGTTTGGGATATTTTTGGGAGTCTTCTAGAGTTCAAGTTTCTCATGCACACCGAACCGTGATTGTTGTGACAGCATTGCACTTGTAGCTGAGGCCGCTAGGATACAAGTGAGGAGAACTATTGACCTATCAAAGAAGGGGTTCCATGAAGATCCCTTGTATGTGCACATCAGGCACTTGGAAACAAAGTCTCCCTTACAATTCACACAGGTTGGGCTCGGGGATCGTATGTAATATATATATAGGTATATAATGGTATATATATATATAACTTATATAATTGATCTGATTGGTCAATTGAATTGGACACATGCACTTGTTGCACGAACCTGAAATTCAAAATGATTCAACAGCAACACGCACAGCTCTTTTCTCTTCGTTTCTCGTTTCCTGCATCATCGCGGTGTCTCGGCATTCATATCCTCGGAGCTGGCGAAGCAGCGGCGCATGCCGGGAAGGCATCTCAGCGAGCTGGCGGAAAAGACTTCACCAAGCATCTCCAGCCAACCTTGAGGTTGTTCAGGAACTACTTGAGGAACACCGGAGACCACACGATCGCACAGCAGTCGGAGTTCTCGAAAGTACTCCTTTCTGGCGCGCAGCCGGAGGTCGTTATGACCTGCTCGGTACTTCACCAGTTTCTTTTCGGGGCTTGCACAGGCTCCATGAGCAGCAAAGGCTTGATCAATGGGGCTCATCTCATCCAGCTCTCCATGAATTACCACGGTGGGGATTCTCACCTGCCGAAGTTCCTCCAGTGGCTTCAAGGGCGAAGGTTCTTGGCGCAAGGCCTGGAGCAACCTTGACACAAGGATGCACAAGGCAGGAGAGGAAATGAGGCGAAGAAAGAATCACTGGATTCGAATTGGAGGTGTCCACGTGTCCACGAACCCCCTCCTTGTGGGTGCTGGTGAATTCCTCCCCTGGCATCACTCGGGGTCAGGAAGGTTAGTGACCTTTCGGGCCCTCTGTTCGGACTCCTTCGGGGGGGGGTTGCAAAATAATGTAAACCAACTACCAACTGAAGGAAATCCAGGAAGCTGAGGCATCATCATGGCAAACTGCATGACCATTGGCAGCTTTAAGAGCTCCATGACGCCTGACTCGATGATGAGGCCGCAAACGTTTGGAGCCGTGGCCAAGTGGATGGCACAGGCGGAGCCTAAGCTCCGGCCCAGCACAATGATGGGCATGTCCAGCTGGAGGTCATTAGTTTCCAGAATCTCAGGCAAGGCGTTGATTAAGGCCTGGATTGGTGACAGTCTGGAACAACAGTGATCATCAATGGTGTTTATTTGGATGTTCGGATGTTTGGTTGCGGGGTTCTGAAACTCTTCCAAACTGCCGCCATGCCCTAGGACCTCCCAAAACTCATCAAAGTATCACCCCTGCCCGCTCCTACCTCACTGTCCGGATACAGGCTCCGCAGGCTAGGCGTGCCCTCGCTCCAGGCATAGCCGCGGAACTCGGGGCACAGCACCGCACCAAAGCCGCAGTCGAAGAACTGGTGCACGTCTGTTTCCAAGTCAGTGCACAACTCTGCATTCGCGTGAAAATAGATCAGCAAGGCCTTGCCACTCGAGTCTTGACGTGTGTCTTTGTACAGGCGATAGGCCAACTTCACATCAGCCATGTAAGTGCTGTCGATCCATGGGCCTCGCTTGGATGCTTGGCATCGCTGAGGGCGGAAGGCCACGCCGGCCACGAGCTCACTGTCCCACAAACTTCGGGAGGCCATGGCGTAAACACCAATACCTCTAAGCCAGTGACAGCGACAGGAGCTGGGTTTCGTCAGCAACACAATCATGATACTGAAGCCCCGAAAATCTGATTACATTGAAAAGCCAATGTTCATCAATGTTCTCACAGTGCTCTATAGCAATCAGGTCGATGGTGTTTGAGCTAAGCATCTTTGATCACAATTCAAGAACCTTCAGGTATCATCTTTGACTCGTTTTCTACCTATTTCGGAAGCTTCAATTCCCATTTTCCCATTTCCACACCCATCTCACATCTTCTGGGCGCAGCCCGTGCAGCCCAAACGGGTCCTGAGACTCCCAGCGCTCGTCATAGGAAACTGCCTTGGAGTGTGATCCAACACGAATGTTAAAAGCTTGGTGAAAGCCCTGGCATACACTCTTGGCCAATAACGAAACAATTTTAGCAAAACAATTTTACCTAAGTACTTATCTTGGCGCAAATGGCGGGGGTAAAGCCGTCTTTAGCCTAAGCACCTGCCTATCCTATCTTTCTGTTCCTTTGTGTATTTCCACGCAAGTGAGCTGCGATAGTTTGACATACTCAAAGGGCTACACATATACACTCCCACTCACTAATATGGACTGGACACCAGTCTGTAGAGGAAAATCGTCTTCTCAGGGGTCAGTTTCGCCATGTTTCCACTTTCAAGACTTTCATGTTAGTCAGAGTCTATACTGCATTCAGCTTTGGTGCATTCCCCCGGCCAGCTCTGTGAATCGCCCCCGCGCGGGGGGGGGGTCATCACGACATCGGCGCACCGACCGTCCGCGCGACCGTCCGTGTCTGCTGGTTTTGGGCAAGTCGAGGTTGGTCTGTTCGAGTTGCTGAGACTTTGAAGCCGGAGAATAACGTGAAACATGCAACTATCTTGGGAAAATGGTGGCCGTACGGCAAGTCATACTATCAGCATGCTGGCCGCAGGTGGTCAATTAAAAGAACTGAGTGGCCGCATCATCTGGCTGCAACTGTCTCAGGGTGGAGAGGGCCACCAGCTGCATAGGCGCCAGATGGGACATCCGGATGTGGCTGAGCAGAATACTGGATGAACTCAGGGCCAGCCAATTTAGTGCCGTCGTTGGTGAGCACTGCCACGGAAGCCATGTTGCCTGCCTTGTCCACATAGTTGGGCGCAGAGAAGACCGTGATCAAGGGGTACTGACCCTCATGGTCGTAGCGGTAGCCTTGCGCCTTGACTTCATGGGACCGCAAGGTCATCCTGAGGCCATTGTACTCCATGAAGTTCTTGGAAACATCAGGGCCGAAGAGGTAGATTCCACTGGACATGCGGCCGGAAGGCCCATAGCCATCCTTGCCCTTGGGGTCGGACCAAAGGAGGTCCACCATAAGAGGATTCTCATCAAGGTTTGGCTCCATAAAGCGATTGGAGTTCTCGATCTCCGCCAAGCTGATCTGGATCCTTAGACAGGATCTTATACAGCCGAGCACATCATTTGACACCGAGAAGGGAATACCAGTAAGCCACTATGTTGCTATAGACCTTGGAAGACAAACCCGACATGGACATAGTCTTGGCATTCGGGGTGCTCAATGGTGCTCATAACTGGGAACCCCACGGCCCCTCACCCACCGTGTCTAAACCGACCTAGGATCTGACGTCCATCGAAGCTGATCTGATTGTCCATGCCCTTCCACCACACACCAGGGTCCGGCCCTGGGATGCCTCCGTGCACCACGAAGATCTCGTTGTTAATGACATGGCACAAGGGCGTGGCCCGGAAGATCTCCGCGAAGAGGTCCTAAGGGTGCCAAGATGTGACAAGGAAGAGATCCAGCCCCTGAAAGAAGAAACTTCTGATGATTTACCTAATAGCAATTGTCCCCAACCTATAAAATAGCGATGGCATCCAACCAATTAAAATAGCAATGGCCTCCAACCAATAAAATAGCGATGGCCTCCAACCAATAAAATA